CTGGGCCGTGGCCACCCCAGCTTGCTCTGGCAGGGCCCGGCTGGACCCCCTGGCCGCCCTTTCCTCCACTCCCCTCAGGGCCACAGCACCTCTCGGGGTACAAACCGCCCTAAGCCACAAATTAAGTTTTGCTTTTTGTAACTAGCAGACACAGTTGGGAACACACACGTCCAAAATAGCTCAGAGAAATGAACATGCTCATTCACAGCCTTTACTGCTCTACTGCTTGGCCACCCCGCGCGGGACACCGCGAATCTTAGTGCGTCCTTGAGTCTCCACATGCACCGACGTGTGTACTGACATGCGTGCATGTCAATGCATACGTGTGTATTCGCGTTTATGCGCACACGCGTACGTGTGCACCTACCTGAGCGAACGTGTGTATGGACATGTGCGCATTTGCACACATGCACACACTAGTGCCTGTGCACACCTGCACACACGCATGCTTGCGTGGGCATGCATCAGTACATGTAAAAACACGTGTGCGTGTGCGGAAACGTGCATGAATGTGCGTGCACGCACACGAGCTTATATGCACACATGTCCACGTGTGTGTGTGTATAGATGCGCGTGTCCACGTACGTGTGCGGACATGTGCGGGCGCGCGCTCGGGCGGACTCGGAGAAACGCGCATGCGCACGCGCACACACCCACCGACGCCGCGGGCTGCCGCCCACAGGCCTCCGCGGGTACCACGCCGTGAGCACAGGGAGCCGACCCGCCGTCCCCCCGACACGCGGCGGCCCGAGGCGCCAGGAGGGGCGCTGTGACCTGGAGCCCGAGGCGCGCGGCAGGGACGCGGCCACGCCAGGCTTGAACCCGGGCGCCGGGCTCGAACCCCGGTCCCGGGCGTCATGGAGCATGCGCAGGCGGTGCTTGCCCGCCCCAGCACCCACAGTTCTAAGCGCAGGGCCGCGTCCGGAAGTCCGTGGAGCTGATCTTCCGATCTTCGTCCTCTGATTCGTTACTGGCCACTTCCGCTTCCGCAGACAGTCCCGCGCCTCCTCCCGCCATTCGCAAGACGTGTCGCTACAGGAAGTGCGCGCCCGCCATGTTTTGTTTCCGGAGGAATCTGCCTCTCCGAGGGAAGTAGGAGACTTCCGGTTGTTCCCTCAGTCTCTGATTGGCTGACTTGATGAATATATTATAGATAAAAAGCTGGGTTATTTTTTCCTCATGCTTTCAAATTAACAAATATAATGAAATGCGGACAACTGTGGCGTCCTAGTAGACTCAGGCGCTTCCACGAGTGTGCCTGTAGACGGCCGGCGGGAAGTCACTGTTACCGAAAAGTGAGCCAATTTTGGGACCATAAAAGAAGCGCGGGCGCCAGCTGGGGCGTGTTGTATGAAAGGAGAGAAGGTTAGCACTCCCCTTGACAAGGATGGAAGAGGCTCTCGGGCCTGTACAACACGCATACGGTTAAGGCATTGCCACCTACTTCGTGGCATCTAACCATCGTTTTATTTTGTTTTTTTCTTTTATCCCTCCCCCCACCGCGGGCCTGTGTGCGCGTGCACTGCGCGGATGCATTGCGCGGGTGGGTGCATTGCATGCACAGGTGCATTCGCACAGGTGCGAAGTCTGTCCTTGCCACCTTCCCCTTTTGGCACAGCACCGTGCACTTGCACCCCAGCACCTGGGCAGGCGGAATCCCGCCAGCAGCGATGTCCGCTTCCCATCCACCGAGCCAGGGAACAAGGTGACAGGCCCCGGCCCTTGACACTTAGGGCAAGGACGCACAGGCCCCTTCCCTCCGGGTCATCCCATGTTCTGGTATCTCCACCCCAAAAGGCCTTATTTGAACCCTCCCTTCTTCTCCTGCACTCCAACCTTTTGACAGAAGAGTCCATCAGGAAAAATCCCGAGACCTTGAAATATGAGAAAAAAAGAAAATCCCTGATTGTCAGTCTAAGGGGATCCTTCCAGCCCCTTATCCACCCTGGCTTGTTTGCTATTTTACATCTAAATTGTGTGAAACTGATTGTGCCTGATGTATTCAGCCCAGTTTTGCCAGTGGAGGATCTATTTGCTATTTGCATAAACTGCAGTACTGGAAACTGGCGGTAACATACACCTTACAGGTTCCCTCATTGAGTTTATACAAGAGATCTTTGTTGAGCATTCACATTCCTGTGAGTCAAAATCTCACCTCTACTACAATAGAGCCCACAGGGCTAGGCAGGGAGGACTCAGGGCTGCCCCAGGGGGCACCGAGTGCTCTTCCCCAGCCCTTAGCCCACGGTGGTTCGTGGGTGTCGCTCTGTTCTGGCTTCAGCATCCCACTGTCCTTCCTTTGGGCGGCAGTGCCTGACTCTCCTCCCTGAATCTCTGTTCTCCTTGGCAGCTCAGCAGAGAGCCCTTCCTGTTTACAGGAACCTGCCCTTGACCCTAAGGTACTCCTGCCGGGACGGTGAGTTCCACTGCACTTCCTGCACAGGCTGAAGAGCAAGACATGTCCGGATGGAGCACATAGCCTGCTTCCTAAATGACATACATGGACCCTAGCCTGGGCACGTTTCCTGTACACATAGGGCTCATTTAAGGACCTCGAAAGACATTTATCAAATTAAATAAAACCAATCTGGTCAATGACTCCACTGTTTGAACACATACACACAACCACCTGCTGAGTGTTCTGAGTACAACATGGAGCCTCAGTCTGGTGGCCTCTGGCCCTCACTGCCCAGTTACAGGGGATACAGGAAACAGCCCCCAGAGACTCACTCAGCAAAATCCAGACCAGGGAGTCTATAGGATCAATGACTATTTCAACAGACAAATGTCAGAGAAAAACCAGAGAAACTGGAGACTTTAAGGCAACTGGAGATAAACCAACCAGATGCGGGTAGAGACCTTGTCTAGATCCTAACTCAAACTGTGTGTGTACACAGGCATGCACATGTACATGCAAGCACACCTGTTCAGACATGCATGTGTACATGCCTTACACGTATGTCGTTTGCATGGTGTATGTTGCACATAAGTGTGCATATACTTATGTACACGTGTGTATACATGCCTGTGTGCCATGTGCGTGCATATACGCATTTCATACATGTGTCCTGTATGTGTGCGCACACACACATTTTTAAAAGATACTAAGACAGCTGGGAACATCAGATATTTAAAGAACTTGGGGAGGCTGAGGAGGGAAGATTGCTCAAGGTCAGGAGTTCGAGACCAGCTTGAGCAAGAGCGATACCCCATCTCTATTATACATAGAAACTGGCCAACTAAAATATATAGAAAAAATTAGCCGGGCATGGTGGCGCATGCCTATAGTCCCAGCTACTCGGGAGGCTGAGGCAGGAGGATCGCTGAGCCCAGGAGTTTGAGGTTGCTGTGAGCTAGGCTGGCGCCATGGCACTCACTCTAGCCTGGGCAACAAAGCGAGATGCTATCTCAAAAAATAAAAAAATAAAGAACTTGGGTATGAAACAGCATTTTGGCCATCAAAGTTTTTGAGAATTTCCCTCGGAGATACCATGAATCCACTGCTTACACGACAAAATGTCTGGGATTTGTACTAAAATCATGACAGAGCACTGGAAACAGTATGTCACAGTCCCTGCAGTGGGGATAGGGACCCGCTCCCCAAGACGCCGTGACCGTGGTGGTAGGAATTCGGGCGAGTGTCTTCGCCACCCTATTCCGTGTTGTCAGTGCTTAGCAAGAATGCGGAACTTTCGCAAAATGCTTGCTGTAAATAAATTCAGGGCTTTCTCACAAAGCACCGGGCACTGCTGACGCTGCCCGCCCGCCCCTAGGATACAGCCCCAAGCAACCACGCTCCCTCCCCAAAGTGACAGCTACATCTTGGGAATGCTAAGCAATTCTTAGGAGACAAAATTAGAAGACATGAAAATCTTTATTTTCAAAAAGAGAATGTGTTTGTACATAAATCTACAACAGAGAATTCATATGTAGAAAAAATAAACTATATTCAGGGATACAGCGCTCGCACAGCGCGCCCCTCCCCCTGGGGAGTGAGCTGACACGAGAGCCAGCCAAGCTGGAGGAACCTCGAGGTGCCCTAGAAGTCCCAGAGCTGGGTGGCGGGCACTGGCATGTGGGGCTCCTCGTGTCCGTGGGGACGGGCTGCAAACGCAAGGCCCGGACCCTGAGTGCGCAGGACAAAAGCCAGCCCGCGCTGCCGGGGCCATTCCCGTCTCAGATCGCTCACCTACACACCTACTTACACAGGCGGGCTGCGGAAGCGGCCGCAGCGTGTTGTACTTCCAGGGGACTCTGATCGGTTTCCACCCCCAGGAGGCCTGGCCGGGCTCCGCCCCACTGAGGGCCGAGGGGCTGTGGCTCCAGGCCCTGACGAGGCGGAGCTGCGGGGCCAAGGCCAGAGCCACCTGCAGACCTGGAACTGCCTGCCTCCTGGGTGCCGGTGGCCCAGCCAGCTGTGCCAGCGAGCCACCCTCCGGCAGCCCTGGCTGCTCATGGCAGCCCTCCGCCGCAAAGGCCTCTGGGAGCGGAGTCAGCCTGGGCCACACTCCCCAGCTGGCAGCTGTGACCCCGCTCTGCAGCGGGCACCGCCACCGCCTCGCCCCAGACCTGAGCACCAGGAAGCCACGACGCGGAGGTGGCCCCAGCGGGAGCAGAGGCGGCAGTGAGGGCAGGCAGGGCAAGGCCGTGAAGAACACCCAACCCACAGGGGCCCCCGGAGACCGCATCGGAGACTGCATCGGCGCCTGGCCAGCAGGAGTCGCACCTGGACAGAGGGACCCAGGAGCCGCCGGCGCTGTGGCTGCCTCCAGGCTCCCGAGGGAGACCTGAGCAGCCTGGCTCCGTGGGAACAGCCCCTGCTCCTCCCACCCACTGCCTAACCACCGCGACCCCGCGGGGAAAGGCCTCCTTAGAGGGGGGGGCACCAGCAGGGCACCCGCCTTCCCAGAGAGATGCTGCCAGCCCCCTGCCGCTGCGCGATGTTCTCTAAAAGGGCTGAGTGCAGACAAGCTTCACATGAGGACGCAGTGGCCACACCGTTCACAAAATCCCTCCTTTTATTACAGTTTGTGGTGCTGCCTGTGGCACGAACATCGGCGAGACAAACGGGGACAGCGCAACTCCACGCCGTCAGCGCGTGGACTCCGTGCTCCCAGGACACAAGAGCCCTCTACACGAAGTGACCTCACAACGCTGTGTTTCCAGAAAGACTCGAAAACACGCCGGGAACCACTACAGGCTGGGCCGGACGCACGGGGGGCCGCGTCTTAGAGCACCTACCGGACAGTCGGGGCCAGGCCCGCGGGGCACACGGGGGCCGGGGCCGCAGGCCAGAGCCGGGTGGCAGAGCTGGGTCACAGCGCTTGCACTGGGGCAGAGAATATCAAAAGATACAGAACATTTACTGGAAAAAACACAACTCATCATAAATTGAACCTCACCCTCTTGTAATAAAAAATTAAAAATTTTTCTTGACTGAACACAATACAGACTAGGAACACCTCCCTAGACAGTGTTAGCGAATTGGCAAGAAGTGTCACCAGCAACTTTTAGAACCTCTGGTCGTCCACACTTTCCCCGCGGCCAAATCATCTTCAAGGAGGCGGCTGGTGTCAGGCCCCGCCCAGGTCCCCCGGGCCAGACCCGGGGGGCCTCCTCGACACCCACTTTTCTTGCCAATCCAAATCAACTTCCTGACAGTCTCTCATGTGGCAACAAAGGACTTAGCAGTCGCTCTTCCACAGCTTAATCGTTTTGTCGTTTTCTAGCGCAGCCGAGGCGATGATGTTCTCTGTCGGGTGACAGGCTGTGGAGATCACAACGTCTGAAAAGAAGGAGACCGTCAGGAGTGCTCCCCTCGCCTTGGGTCCGGGGTGCCACCCTACGCCCCCAGGAGGACAAGGCCTCACCCAGACACGGGGACAGGCTCGGCCATGGCTCAGTGCCCACGCGAGGTGCACGCAGCACCACTGGCACAGAAGCCCGCACCCGTGGGGACGACAGACCCGTGACACTAGAGTCTCAGTTCTTTGTGGACAACGCCCTAATCTTAGCTGGACCCAGGCCCCCCACCCCTCATGGCCTCCCACCACTGCGGGTCCCCAAGCACCCTGAGGGGCTGCCTGTCCCTCAAAGGCATGTCCACCCCTCAGCAGGGACACCCTGTCTGGGGGCTGGCATGTGAGGTGGGCCACGTCAGCATGCTCGCAGCTGTCCCGTGAGCTGAGCGCCAGCTCCTGCGAGGGTGGAGGGCGGAGCAGCCAGGCCAACACGGAGGCGCACAGTGGCCCCGGTGTCCGTCCCTTCCAGCTTGGGTGGTACTGTCACCTCGGGCAAGAGAGGGCAGCACTGTCCTAGAAGTCCACAGGGCAGTGGCACCCCTGCCGTCACCCACCCCAGAGAAGTGCCATTTCAGGGAGAGACAGCGAGGAGGCAGCAGCCAGGACTGGGGACCAGGAGCCGCCGGGCATCGCGAAGCCAGGGCCTTCCCAGGGATGGGAACCAGCTGCCCCAAAAGAGCCTGAGCCTCCAGGACAGGCGCGGGCGGCCTTCCCGCCCCTGGTGGAGGAAACAGCTCGCCACCAAGTGTGACAGAGGCATGGCCTTGCCCACCTGAGCAGGCGCAGAGCAACACATGCTTTCTGGGACAGGACACCTGGCAGGACCGGAAGAGGAGGGTGAAGCCAGGAGCCAGGCTGAGTCAGGACCAGCCCCGACCTGCCCCATGACCCTGGGCAAGGGCACTTGGCAGCAGGCTCCAGAGTGGACAGTGCCCCTCCAGGGCCACCAGAGGGCTGAGGAGGAAGAGGGAGCAGGCGGCAACCACACAACTTTCTTCGTGAACCACCACGAAATCACCGAGTGGTGTGCAGCCCGTGATTGCAGGCGCTCACCTGTGTGGCCTTGTAGTTTCTGTACAATCTCTTTCGTCTGAAGGTTCCAGATGTAAACCAGGTTATCCTCCGAGCCAGACACGATCCACTGGGGAATGGCAGGAAGGATGGGGCGAGAAAAGCCGGGTCAGAGTTCACGTGTGTAGAGGGGCCAGAGCCTCAAGACAGTTCTCACCCGCTCACACCCACCCTGCTGCCAGCTGCTGTGAACCCAAACAAAAGCCCCGCTCGGCTCCAGCCCGGCCCGCAGCTCCCGTCTCCCCTTGCCGGGCTACACGCCACCAGAAAAGCAGCAGGCCATTTTCTGACTTTGTCACTCACATCTCTGCCGAGTGTCACCCCTACTCTGTCAACCCCCACCTCGACTGAGGATAAATGTAAGAGGTGAGCACCGAGACCAGGTGGTGGCAGGAAAATGCGCTCCCCCCACCACCGCCCCGGGGCAAGAGGGCCTGGGAGGGGAGGGGCAGCAGCCTCAGAGGAAGGTGCCAGCAACCTATGCTAGCACAGCCCAACAACAGAATCCCGTCTCCACGAGCGAGCGAGGTGGGTGGAGGAGGAGGTGTCCCCGACACGTGCAGCCGACGCGGCGCCAATACTTGGCACGGTGTGACTTCGCTTTGGTGAAAACAGAAAACCACTGTTTGCTAGGTGGGCACAGAGGGCCTCTCTGCGAGTACAAAGCAGCCCCAGCGGTGTGACCTCTCACGGGGGGAAGTGTGAGAAGCTTCTCGGATGGGGAAACTCACCTTCCCGCCGGTGACGGAGAAATTGGCAAATATGCAGTATTTTTCATTCTTGTGGCCAGTGTAGGTCTTCAGGCACTGCAACGGCAGGGGACAGGCGAGTCACAGGTCACTACTGCCCCACGTGCTGGACAATCCCAAGTTCTAAGCGCGGGTACTTTACCACTAGCTGGTTCTGAACATTACTCTAAACATATACAGGTACCAAGCCCACACAGTCAGCGCTCTAACTTGCAGACGGGCAATCTGCAAAAGCCCAGGTCTCTCAGAAATCTGCACCAAACCAGCTGAGCAGGGGCAGCTGTCCGAGCTCCCTCCTGCTGGTTGCCAGGAGTCAGCTCTGCTACCGCCAGTGGCGGTGACACGGCACTTCGTGACGAGCGCGCCTTCACGGGAGCTCACCTTCCCCTTGCTGTAGTCCCAGAGCTTCAGGGTGCTGGAAGACAGAGAGGGGGGTGAGGAGTCGCTTCCGGGGCCTCCCTCACCGCCACGCCCGACTCTGCTGCCGCGGCAACCACCAGCATCGGGTGCAAAACCAGCGGGGCTGGAGCCTCCTCCCCCGTCAAAGTGAGGGTCCCCAGCACAGCAGGTCGGGCCCCCCAGGTCCACAAAGTCCAGTGACTTGATGACATCCAAGTGCACGACATAAGAACCCCAAATATTTGTAGTTCAACGACAAACTTTGTTTTAGTAAGAGAAAAATTATGAAATTTATTTTAGCATCCATATACAGGAGCCCCCAGAAAATGAAGATTCAGCTCCCCAACAGCGTCCAGAAGCTTATACAACTTGGGATAAAATGAGTCATGGGAGGGAAAGAGGAACTCCACCGAGGGGCAGTAAAAGATTACCAAGGAGGAGGAATGGGTGGGGAACGAAGGTTAATGGTAAATAGTTCCCTTTGGAGCGTAAATGTGTCTGAGACTGGACACTATCTTCTCAAAGAGTCTGCTCTGGTGTGGTCGAGTTTCTGGTGTTACAGGGAGGGGAGGAACAGAACAGCTCTAGTCCAGGTGGGTCTGGAACTAAGCTGATGGTGTGGGGAGGAGACAGAGACCTTGCGGCTGCTGTAATCAGCCCAGCATGTCAAAATGCCATATTCTGGGGTAAAATATTTTTAATTTCTTTCAGTCTATGCTTTGAAACTAAAAAGTTTCACATATTAAAAGCCAAGCAAAGCCCAGGCACGTTGGCTCACGCCTGTAATCCTAGCACTCTGGGAGGCTGAGGCGGGAGGATCACTTATGCCCAGAAGTTCGAAACTAGCCTGAGTAAGAGCAAGACCCCTGTCTCTACTAAATGTAGAAAGAAATTAATTGGCCAACTAAATATATATATATGAAAAAGAAATCAGCCAGGCATGGTGCCAGCTACTCAGGAGGCTGAGGCAGGAGGATCACTTGAGCCCAGGAGTTTGAGGTTGCTGTGAGCTAGGCTGATGCCACGGCACTCACTCCAGCCCAGGCAACAGAGTGAGACTCTGTCTCAAAAAAAAAAAAAAAGCCAAGCAAAGACAGACTTTTAAAAAGGAAGCAGCTGGGTGTTGTGGTTATAAATCAGTCCATGGTCAGCCTCACTAGGACATGAAGTCGTCTTGGTTCCAGAAACACCCAGAATAGAGTGTTTCCAACACTACTCATCCTAGGGGCAAGGAACTCCCCGACCACCAGGGGCTGACCAGGGACAAGGCCAACCATGCAGCCCCCAGAGGAGCTGCAGCACAATGGCCCCACAGGGTCCCCACGGAGAGAGGCCAGGGCTTAAATGGCCACCCGGGAGGGTAACAGTTTACACGACCAAAACTCTGTCCCATAGTTTTGTCACAGGTAAAACTGAGGTGCTCAGAGGTCTGAACCAGAAAGGACCTCCAGGATACCCATCCCACGCAGTCCTCCACGCAGGACGGCTGTGCCCACCCGTGGTCACACAGTCACTCAAGGGGAAAACTGCGTCCCAAATCCTCTTCAGACCAGAAATTCAGCCTAACAGCCCTGGGCTCCAGCAGGAGCCTGGATCTGGTACCAAGAGCAACACCCCTTCCAAAGTCTCCTGCTGGGAAGGGACAGGCGTCCCTGGCAGGGAGGCCACCTTACTTGCACTTACTTGTCCAGCGTGGCAGCCAGGATGTATTTGCCGTTCGGAGAGAACTTCACAAAAGACACTGGGGGGTTATCGTCATCTGCATCGAAAACAGACAGGCTGACGCTGGGCGGTGCTGGCGGCTCTGCCCGGAGGAGAGACAGGACCCGCTCCCCGTCACCCGTGTGGGCGTCTGAGTGAGGTCAGTGCCACCAGTGCCAACACCGCCATGGAGCCGCCCGCAGCTTCACCTGCCACTTGCAGGGTGAGCAGGTTCTCAATGGCTCAAGCCCATGGCCCCGAGGGCACCCCTGACAAGGGACTTTAGGGACTCAGCCTAAGGCCAGCCACACAAGGGTCACCAGGCCTCCTCGGCACCGGACATGAGAGGAGGTGAGCACTGACTGCCTGACGTACAGCGGTTTACAAATACCCAGCTCGACTGAGGAACCCCCCCAGCCCTCCCCACCCCCACTTGGAGCAAAATCACCTGGGTAATCATCCCAGACGCCCTCCTGTTGCTTAGCTACGACAGCAGGAGACTCTCACATCCCTGCATCCAACCTTTAGGACACTGCACCCACATCTTTGCCTGTAACACGCTAGATAAAAAGCTTAACCCTGGGGCCCTGGGGTGCGGGGACAGCTGCCCTTCCTCACACAGTTGGAAGGAGTCAACACGCGCAGAAATTCCAGCAAAGGCTAGAGTTTCCAGGACGTGATAATCCTATTTAATCCTCAGGGCGGGAGGGCGTTCTCCCCTCGCCTGGGTGCAGAGGAGGGAGTGCAAGGAGGTGCACCCCGAGTGGGTCTGTCTAGCCAACCGGGGCCCCCTGAGTGTGCACGTGCGCTGGTGGGTCCCAAGCACCAGAAAGGACGCAGCACACGCATTACCAGCACTGGGACGCTGGGCCCTACGGGGCACCTGGGGCCTCCAATCCCACGGGCTGGTCAAACACACTGAAAAGGCACGGGAGTCAGTGTGAAGCCCTCGGGCCCTCACCTGGGGTCACACTGCGTCATGCAGCCTGGCCAGGGTCACCATGCGGGCCGGGCCCGCTATGTCTAACTAAGCTACCGTGGCAAAGCGTGACTGGGCACTTATCAGCTGACCTGTCTTAGTGAAGACCGAAGGAGAAATCAGATGGGAAAACTGCCCTCGACCCCTTCTCCTTCCCCCCACCCTGTGCCCTGCGCTCAGTCGGCGTGCAGACCACCTAGCGCCCGCGCACTTGCTGTGTAGCTCTGGGCTGGGCAATCGGCCTCTCTGTAAGGTGGGGACACACCCCTACCTGCAGAAGTTACCATGACAGCAAGCAGCAACACTAGGCACACCAGGCAGCAGCTTGACGGGGCCACCATCCTACTGGGCAGGGCCACCCACACCAGGCTTCTGCACAAGACACTGACTGACACAGTTTGACTTGCTGTCAGAACGAGGACATGCAGCAAAGGGGGGGACTCAGAGAGCAAGAAAACCTCAAAGGCCCCTGTTAGCAGTGACCTGTGCCCCCAAACTCATGTTCAAGCCCTAAGCCCCAGAACCTCAGAAGGTATTTGGAGACTGAGCCTTCAAAGACATGATTACATGAAAATGAGGCCCTTAGGGTGGGCCCTTGTCCAATCTTACTGGTGTCCTTCTGAGAGGAGGAAATTTAGACACGTGGAGACATTGGGGCGCAGGACGTGGGGGGGAAGCAGCTGTCTGCAAGCCAAGGAGAGAGGTCTCAGGAAAAACCGACCCCACAGACTCCTTGGTCTTTAACTTCCAGCCAACAGGACCATAAGAAAATAAATTCTTGCTGTTTAAGCTGCCCACTCCGCGGTAGTTTATCACAGCAGGCCTAGCAGACTAAGGTGGATATTTGTTCCCATGACAGCCTAGGGAGGAAGAGCAGCTTAGGAGGCAGCACCTCCCCAGGTGGGCCCACTTCCCTCCTCCCCCACGCAGGTCCCGCCCAGGGATGGAACTGGCAGATGCCCCAGGAGGCCCCAGCCCACCACAGCCCACCCTACGATAGATAGCAGGCCCACCCCACGCTGCGCCTCTAACCTGGAACTCTGACCTCCGGGATGGCCCAAGCTCATCAGCCTTCACAAACGGTAACACTCCCCTCATAAGACCCCTTCCCAGCTCCCTCCTAAAGGCCCATCACCTGGGCTCCAGCCACACCCCCAGGTCTCTCCTTCCCCTCCTCATCCCCAGGCGCAGACCTCAGGCCCATCCCTGCTCCCAGGGCACCCCCACCCACCCGGGCAGCAGCCCTGGCAGAAAGGATCGCTCCAGGGCTCAGCTGTGTCACTCAAGGCAGGGCCTCCGTAGCTGTCAGCACAGAGGGTCCCAGGGGGTCACTGCAGCAGTCCCCAGCAAGGCTGGACAGCACAGGCCTGCGTGGGCGCTAACACGCGGCCCCAGACTTAGCCGGCAGGAGGGAACTGGTGGGAGCGGTCAGGAAAGCAGGAAGATTCCTCCCAAAGGGAGCAAACTCAGGACAGAGAAGAAAAAACTGACTCATGGAAAAGCTTGGCTTCCAGGAAAATCTCAAAGAAAGAACAGGGTAGGAGAGACGGCAGCTGTCCTCCCTGGCAGGTCAGCAGACACCCGGAAGCTCCCGACCTGGGCGCGAGCCCAGCACTCACCGATGAGCGTCTTCAGGCACTGGCCAGAGGCGGTGTCCCAAATGCGACTTCAAAGCAAAAAGAACAACATAGTTTGAGGACGCAAGTTACCATAAGGAGCCTTGTGAGTGCTGTTCTTAAGCAGATCTAAGTTTTAGGACTGAGACGCTTTTCCCTGATTTCATTTAACAATTATACCCTTATCTTCCAAGGACTAGACTGCACACGGTCCACACGCTCCGCGCACCCAGACCAGATGTCTCTCCCACGAGCACTGCCCACCTGCCCCCTCCCGGCCAATGAGGGCGCCCACGGCCTCCCTCGCAGGCCTCTTGGCGCACACGCTCCGGCACGTGGTCGCAAGGGAGAGGGCTCTTTTCAAATACAAAAATGAGAGTGCCATATGCAATTCCCAGACATCCCTTTAGTTAAGTAGCAAGAGAACATATTCAAAGCCCACTATTCCCTGGATGGAGGGGCCAGGCACTTCCGTCATTCCAGTTTCAGGGTTTCCGTGATTTTTGCCAGAACAGACGCATTTTGGAAGCAGAGCCCGCGTGTGCGAGCACCTACACTTCTAGAGCCCCCAGCAGTGGCGCTGGCTCGGAACAGACGGCTCTCCCAGCATCACGTGCCCGCCCCACTGTCAGTGTGTCGCCCTCCCCAGGGCACCCTCATCTCTGAGCCGTGTCAGTGTCTGTCGCCCTCCCCAGGGCACCCTCATCTCTGAGCCGCCTTCCGTCCACCCACGCTGCAGATGTTCCAGGGACAAGACCACACTGTGCTGCAGCCACCGCACCTCAGGTTCTGAAACCCAAAGTGGCAACTCTCGCCCTTACTCCCATTTTCTCAATTCCGTCAGCAAACAGCTCCATTGTGCTTCTCTATGGATCTTAAATTTACTTTTATCTAGGTCCACGAACACCCTGGAGGGATTCTAAATGGAACTGCGGTGCAGACGGGCTTAGGACAATAGTTCCGCCACCACCAAAGATGTGGACGTGTCACTTGCCTCCTGAGCCTTAACTCTTCGGCGTGTCCTTTTAGTTAGACTTTCTCATTTCCTCTATGGATCCGTCCTGCTTTCTTATTAAACATGTTCCTAAAACTCTCAGCATTTCCATCCGTTACGCTTGCTGAGTGTTTTCCCCACTCTACAGGGAAAAATAGTCATTTTTCAAGCGTTGACCTTGCCAGACGCATGATCACACTCTGTAGCCAGCAGAGCCTGGTGGTTCTAAGCCCACAGTGCAGAGCTACCACATGGGCTATACCCTGGTCTGTCACCAGCTGAGGGACAACTGGCAAGTGTTGTCACTGCTGAAAAGTAGGGATGGCCATAGCCAAGTACCCAAGTCATAAGTTAAACAAGTGAATATTTGAAAAGCACAATGTTGGTGGCTTTTAAATTTTTTAAAACACACAAACATATCATCTACAAAGAGATAAATCTCTATCCAATTTTCATATAATTATTTTCATTTTCTTATCACATTAACTAGAAACTTCCAACAACGCTGAGTAACAAGAAATGGGCACGCCTGTTTTGCCCGACTTCAGCAGAAATAGTCTTAGCATGTCACCATCTATTAGGAAAATTATTAGTTCCCAATAAGCAGCAAACTGACATCGGTTTATCTCGTTAAACGGGTTATTAGGAGTGCCTGCTGAGTATTATCAGGTGCCTTTCCAACCTCTCCCGACACATTATATGGATATTTGCCTTTAATTTTTGATATAATTAGATTATAGGTTTCTTAATGTTCCTATTACTACAATTCTTTCATTAGTTGATACACTTGCTCACTCACTGAACATTACTCTCTGATAAACTGCTAGATTCAGTTTGCTAGTATTTTCTTTGGAATCTGGCACAATATTCCCAAGTGAGGTCCCCTCTTTTAGATAGCAGGGTCATGCCAGATCCCTAAAATGAATTAGGGAACTTCAATCTTCCTATGGTCTGGAATAGTTTACATGACCTTATGAGTTTCTGTTATTTAACTGGATTCAGGTATAAATCCCAGGGACTTATTTTCAGAACTCCAATGGCACTTTCTAGTCTCTTCCGTGGTGACTGGTCCGTCAAGGGCCCACCTCCTCGTGATTCTAGGGGACGTGGGTGAGCTGCTCCCCTAGAGCCCAGGGCTGTCATGGACAGATGCACTTACTCTTCTTGACTCCTCCCTGACCTGCAGTTTTCCCACCCACTTCCTATTTCCAATCTTATTTATTTTTGCTTTTCCATAATTGGACTTATGATAGTTTTAACTACGGGCCTTATCAAAAAATAAAATACCTTATTTTAATTTTATAAATTCCCTCCCAGTTTCCTTGGTACATTTTTACAAAGTTTCGAAAGCCAAGTCCACGAGTGATTCAGAGACTGCTCCATGCTCTTAAGAAAACACCTGGAACTTCCGGGCCGGGAAACACACAGGGGCCAGGAAGACTGCCCGAGAGTCCCGACAGCACGCCGTGGCCGCCCTGTGCACCTCTTCCATCTGGCTGTGTCTGAGTTGCATCCGTCAGAACAAACTGGTAAGTGGTCAAGTGTGGATTATGGCTTTAACCTCAGCCAGTGCAGGGCTCCAGATGAACTCGTTTGTGCCACAGCACGTCCTGGTGACCTTGGCCCCAAACACCGTCACACTGCTGGACCCGGAGTTCGAACCCTGCAGGTGAGGGCCTGGACCTGTGCGTCGCGGAGCCTGTGGACAGGCTGGTGGCCAGGTGGCCCGGGCACAACTCTGACCTGCAGTCACCTCCCTCCAGCCCCATCTAGCCAAGACTCATGATGGGACCTGCATGCTGACCACAGACCGTGACCCCGTGGGGCTCGTCCTGCCAACATTCCTGGGACAGTCAGACTGGAAACTAAGCGAGGGGTGCACGTCCAGCTGAGGCTCCTCCAGGCCCCAGCGCACACCCTCACCTGCACAGTTGGAAAGGAAGCTTTAAAGGTGCTTCCGATTTTTATTTTGGAAGAATTATGTTACCTTATTGTTAAATAAAATTTTTACTAAAGAAAAAAAATCTGCTTTGTGCTTTGTAGTATACACTATACTCTATATGTAGTGAAGAAATAGCTAATAGTATCTCCCAGATTTGCTAAGTTCCAAGTTATCTTCGGTCAAAGTAAAAAAGAAACATATAAAAAACACTCAAGCAATTTTAAATCAAGTTCTCCTTATATTTCTAGTTTTTAATCTTACATCTTCTAGCTACTATGCTACCTGGTGTACAGAGGTCTCTAATTTCTTTGCCATAAATTCCACCTGCTTTATCACATATCCCTCTTCCCTGGCCAGTGCACGTTTTCACCTGAGGGGTCCCAGCAGCCTGACCAGGAAGTCCTGCTAAGGTCTTGCACCCGGCCAGTAGCTGCTCGGTCCCATCCTTCCTAGTGACACCTGAACACACTAGGACGCTAAGCCCTCCACACCCAAAATATAACCCAAGCACTCACACTCCCCACACTGGCCCCCAACATGAATGCTGCTGAGCAAAGTTTAAACATTTCCTTCCTCGTTCTCCCTCGTGTCTCCTGCAGACCCTGGACACACATTACAGACGCCCAGGTCCATGAGCATCGTCCACTCAGCCCTAACTGGGGGTTCTGCAGGAAACCACGTCCCTCTGCCTCCCGCCCTTCCCTGTGCCAGGATCCGTTCCGATTCACCTATCCAGGACTCAGGCGTTTCCTCAATGGGGCAAGGTGGTACACCCTCAAAATCCTCCCCTGCCCGCACATCTTCCACCCCCAGGGTCCAACCGCCCCTTCTCCAGGAGCTCGTGAAGAGCTCCTGTGCACGGCCACCTACAGGGGAGGCTCCCAGCCACACGGACCCCTCAGTGCCCCCGGAACCGTATCAGCTCACATCTGCAGCCCTGCTAGAGTGTAAGCCTCTGGATGCTAAGGACTTGCATCTCTTTTTTTCACTGCTATACCCCCAGAGGCTGGAAACGTGCAAGAGTAGGCTGTTAGTATTTGATGATTAAATGAAGTAAAGGTTTTCTACTTACCAAAGACCATCGTAGCTACTTGAAACTATCAAGGATCCATCACGATTAAAGTGAACCTGAGAATTAATAAGTAGGAGGGAAAAAAGAAACTTACTTTCAAGCCATCAACAGACTGCTGCTCACCTGAACGGGCCTGATCTTTGTGCACACATGGGACGGCAGGGAACGCACGTCCTGGTGCACACTAAGCAGCCCCCAGACCCGGCTCCGGCTTTCGCTCCACAGGTACCTGGACATGCTGACACGGGTGCAAACGTGCAACGACCATTCTCACCGGGCATCTAAAGCAGGTTACTTTATGACGGACACCATAACAACAAAAAACAACCTCAAAATATGTCTTGAGTATTTAAATCACTTAAAAACTACGAAATGCACAGCTGAAAAGAAACTACCACCACCAACCAAGTCCCACTTGGCTCCATGAAAACAGGGGCAGCTTCCAAGTCTGTTAGTCTGCGCTGCCGCGAGGACAGCCTGACAAGGTCCCTGTGGCTCAAAATAACTCTCCCTGAGCCGATGATGAAAAGAAATGACACAAACCAAGAGGGAAACACCCCTGATCAGCCACCGACATACGAAGGGAACTCCAGAGCCTTCCCACTGGTGCATCACCTGCCCAGGGACAGCTACCAGGAAACCCGAGTCCCAGGCACTCCGGAGCCAGGGACACTGACTGGTGGAGGCCCAGCTGCACCTTTTCAGATGAGACGGAAATGAGATCCAGGCCGCTCCAAACCTTCCGTCTCAGAACAGGTGAGCCTCTGACTGCTGTGGTCCCTGCACTCTGACCTGTGGTGTTTCCAAATCACTGGTTTTATCTGCATGCCTAGCACACAAACAAACTGCTACCTGACTACGGTCCCTGTCTTACAACTGATTTATTTGGTTTATCTTATTATTTTTTCCAGTTGAATCTTACTGTGAATATATGTAATCATGACATCAGGAGCTAAGGTTCATCACCAATTTCTATCATTTTTGAGTCCTAGGCAGACGGGACCCAGAATAAGCCTTCTTACAAATGAGTCACACCTTTTAGAAACTGGTTTCATGCTATAAGTGAAACATTTCCAATGTGAAACGAAGCTGCACAAGGAATCCCTGGTCTAGCCATTCGGGGACGGGCCTGAGGCCGTCCGTTTGCTTCTACTGTCCAGACCAGAGTTTCTGGCTCTCAGCACCACAACGTTTCAGACCAGACTCTTCTGGGCCGTGGGGAGCTGTCCTGTGTAACAGCAACCTTGTCCTTTCCTCACCAGATGCCAGGAGCACCTAGTTATGTCAGCCCAAACTGTCTCCAGACACTGCCACATGTCCCTGGATGCAAACCTGCAAGCACCAAGAGCATCTGCAAGCTGTGACAGCGCAGACTCCTGCCCCCCTCCCCCCCCAGCGCCTGGCGGGGCTGGCTCCAGGACATGCATGCACACGCGTTCCCAGGGGAGGCTGCCGCTGCCAGTCGGGGGCACACGTGGAGAACCGCTAGGCTGGACTCTACAAGAGCACTGCCAGCCGGGGGGCTAATTTTAAGCTTTCTAGTAGATACATTAGAAAAGTAAAAAATCCAGGTGAAATTAGTTTAATAGAGTTTAACCCAATGTATCTAAAATAGTATTTGCGGTGCTGGGTTGCCACGTGCGGCTGGCGGCCGCCATGCTGGACAGCGCGGCTCCCAAAGACGCTCTCCAGGAGACACTCGAGAGCTCAGTGATCGTTTGCTCCCTGTTTCTATCGGCTCTACTGGTAGGCTGCTCTGGCAGCAACGGCTACTTAACTGAGACCATCTGGTCTTCACCCTCTCAAAAGTACTCTCCTAACTATCAGCGATCATCTAACCACATTCGTCCCTGTCTTAAATTTGTAAAACAGGCTCTCAGCAGGGCCACTGTGCTAGATGGCAATGAGTCGACAGGGGCCCCCTAAAATCACACCGCTAATCCCCTGCTGTGCTTGGCTCCAGCTTCCTAAGCAAGTCCAAATACCACCCACTGGCGAACGTGGGGCCTGGATTTTCCATTCAACCAAAGTTCAGGTGCGAGAAGCCGTACAGCCTATACCGTACGTTCTAGAAGACAGCCAAAAAGTAAGCGCTGCAAAGAAATAAACAAAGCAACGAGAAAGAACTCAACAGGGGACGGCAAGGCCCCTCAGTAAACAGTCCAAAGGGCACTCTGGGCGCCCTGGAGCAGATGCGCAGTGCAGACGCTCTGGAGAAGGGGCGGCCCACTGCTCAGTGTGGGGAGGCTGCAGATGCGTGGTCACAGGGCCTTCAGCTGAGGAGCAAAGGAGCCCTGGGCCTGGACCAAAGCAGTGGACAGCGATGGGAGGCGACAGCAGAGTGCCCACCTGCCTTGAAGTCTCTAAACCTCCAAAATACACCTGTTAAAAAACTAAATGTACATAACGACATGGAATTTCCCCTTCCAAAAGTCATCCTGCAGAAACCGCCACATGAGCATGCAAAGCTATACGAACAGGATGTTCGACTCGCTCCTTTTTGTAAAAGTGAAAATTACACACAAGCACGCAAGGGGTGATTGGCAAATGTTACCCCACACACAGCAGCCCACACCAGCGGCCCACGGGCAGGGACATGTACTGACATCAGAGACACCCCAGACACCCCTCTGCAGCGGAGACGGCTGCGGAACAGCGGCTGTGCGGCAGCATCACTGTCATTACAGCGCCAACAGGAATGAGCCGGACTGGGAAATACATCCTCAAAAACACAAAGCAGAAGACCCAGAGGGACAGACCAACCGCTCGGCAGCTGACACGGGGTACGAGCTGGGGAGATTCTGAGTTTCTACTTTCTATGTCTGCTTGCCTTCTTTTGGATACAGGGTCTTGCTCTGTCGCCTGAGCTACAGTGCAGTGGTGTCATCATAGCTCACTGCAACACTAAACTCCTGGGCTCAGGTTATCCTCCTGCGTCAGCCACCCAGGTGGCTGGGACTATAGACCTATGCCACGATGTCTGGCTAATATTTTTGTATTTTGTAGAGATGGGGTATCACTCTTGCTCAGGCTACTCTAGAACTCCTGGTCTCAGGCAATCCTCCTGCCTCTGCCTCCCAAAGTGTGAGTGACCATGCTAAACCTGGATTTTTTTTTTTTTAAATGAGCAAACATCACTTTTGTAGAAAACCAAAACATTTACAATCCTACCTATTATCTGGGAGTCCCACCTGCAGCCACCCCGGACCACTAGGACGCTCACAGAACTCTTTCTTTCAACTCAAGGGCCATCAATCAAACAGATCTTTCTGGTGTCTTCACGGGTATTCGTTTGCCACCCCCAGTATGAAATTCAGTTCTGTTCTGTGACTCCACGTGCCCCGGAGGTCAGGGGACTGGTAGCAAGGGCCAGGCCTGCATGGCATCACCTCCACAGCGAACAACCTTTTGCAACAGCGGTGACTCTAGGCCTGCAGGGGCCACGTGTAGGTCCCAGACGCCACAGCCCCACCGCAGCCCAGACGCACCGTGTGTCCCGCACACACCAGGCTCTGCCTGGTGTCTCAGCTCAGCAAAAGCCTTTCAAGGGTAAAAGTGCTTAAAATCATGCACCACCAGGATGTCAGGACATGAAAAGCACATCTGCTGGGCAATAGTGAACAAATCGTTAGCATGATTCCTTCTACTTCCAGAAAAAGGCAAGCTTGGCTAGGAAACACCTCAGGTTCTTTGTTAACAAAGGAAACTTTTGGCCACTTTTTCAAAAGGAGCAATTTGTGATAGTGCATGCAGTTTATCGCTCGTCCATTTGTTTTGCACACTGGGATGGAGTCTGCCAAACGGCAGGGCATGTCCATGCGCAGAGCTTGTTCTCCAGAGGGCTCTGACGGCTCCACCTACGACTGGGTCAGCCCCGCCACCCCATCCACCAACACCAGCTGTGCTCAGAACACCCACCTCCCCTGTGCTCACACATCCCAGCACACAGCTCCCTCTGCCCCAGACACCCTCCCAGGCCGCCTGTCCTGCAAGTGTCAGCTCCTGAACACCTGTGGCCACCAGCCTCCCGGCCCACACAAAGGGCCTCACCACAGGGCCCCCTGCTGGCACCTAACCTGTCCCCCCACTGCACACAGGGCCAATAGATCTCTCAGGTCCCCAGCCACCAACCTCTGCTCCTCACTCTAGACTGCTATGCAACAGGAGTCAGCTGCACATGGCCAGCTGTCAGAGGGACTTACAGCTGAGACTGGATCTGAGTGAGCCGGCAAAGTCTTGAGGCACTTCCCTGTTTTCACGTCCCAAATCCTCACACTTTCATCAAACTGCAGACGAAAGACGACATTAAAGTGATTCTACAGGAAGGAGGAGAGAAGCCGAGATTCCCCAAAACTAAGACCTGCCACTGCTTCATCCTCCCCACCAACAGCACAGAAAGGACTCGAAGCCCACCCACCCACTCCACACCGCCCACGGTGCTGTGCAGTGAGACACAACAACCTTCCACGGAGAAGACACAACAGCCGCACTTACCGAGCCTGAGACGATGAGGTTGGACTGGGGGTTGAAGTTACAGCAGAATACATAATTACTGTGCCCCTTCAAGGTTTTCAGGCACTTTCCCTAAAACAGAGTATTATTAGATTAAGTTATTCCCAGTAGTTAGTTCCCCAAATATCAGCGCCCGGCCACACTCATCAACAGCTTCAAAGCACACCTGACACCCCGCCAGTGACCGGCTGCTCCCCAGATAAAACTCCGCGCCAGCCCTTGCCCCCCAGCAGCCAGTCTTCCCTAGGAGAAGAGCACCACGTGCTGCTCACCGAGCTCACGTCCCATATCTTCAAGGTTTTATCATCAGAAGCAGAGACAAGGAGGTTGGAATCTGACGACCAGGCAACATCAGATATTCCCTTGGGAGAAAAAACGTGGTCACCGTATTTGTAGGACAAGACATGCCCAGCCACCAAAGGTCAAAATCCCAAACTCCCACCACCCTTCAGAAGTTCCCCAGCCCTGTAATCCTAGCGCTCTGGGAGGCGGAGGCAGGAGGATTGCTCTAGGTCAGGAGTTCGAAACCAGCCTGAGCAAGAGCGAGACCCCGTCTCTACTAAAAATAGAAAGAAATTAGCCAGACAACTAAAAATATAGGAAAAATTAGCCGGGCAAGGTGGCACATGCCTGTGGTCCCAGCTACTCGGGAGGCTGAGGCAGGAGGATCACTTGAGCCCAGGAGTTTGAGGTTGCTGTGAGCTAGGCTGACGCCACGGCACTCACTCTAGCCTGGGCAACAAAGCAAGACTGTCTCAAAAAAAAAAAAAAAAAAGTATTTGCATTAAAAACGCAAGGGGGCTGGGCACAGTGGCTCACGCCTGTAGTCCCAGCTCTTTGGGAGGCTGAGGCAGGATTGTTTGAGTCCAGGAGTTCAAGGCTGCAGTGAGTCATGATGATACCACTGCACTCTAGCCTGGGTGACAGAGCGAGACCCTCTCTCAAAAGAAGAGAAAAAACAAACCAACCAACCCACAAGAGGCAAGTAAGTACAACAAAGCACAGGGGAAACTTACATCTGAACACCTGGCCCTGGACATGGGCCTGACCCTACTAGATGACAGGGGCTACCCTGTTAACAGTCCACTTCACCTCACACAGTTGGGACCTACCAGCTTATGACCAGATATGGTTTTCTCAAATTTTCCATCATATGCTCCCCAAATTTTAATGAGTTTATCAGCAGCTGTAAGAGATTTAAAAAAAAAAGGAGCTGAGGCTCAGGGTGGGACACGGGTGTCCAGCCATCCAGAGTCCCCTGGTAATCAGCATGAGGTGACCACACAGGAACCCATTCAGCATGGCCACGTGCAGGAAAGGGCCAGCCCCCCTCCCCCCCCCACCCCCGCCCCCGTCCCCCTTTACTTCAAAGGGGCAATGAGCATAATTTCAACAGGCACTGATTTCTCCACAGTTCCTGCAAGGAGACATGCTGCTCACCGTGACGACTCAGTGGCATGTCTGAAAGCAAGCTACCCCCAAGCCCCCTTTCCTGACTGCAGGTCAGACCAACTGCCCCGGCAGCTGAAGTGCTCTGCCACGTACATGAACTTGCCAGCCACTCTCCATTTGGGCTGAATTTCACGGAGGACACTGCTTTGGTGTGGCCAGCAAGGGTGAACTTCAGAGCATAGTTTGGTTTAACAGGTGTGGGCTGTTAGAGAGACAGCATAACTTAGATTAGCAAAAAGTAACCACCACTGTCCAGTTCAAGAGATCACCCCTTTGGATTTGACTCCTAAAGTTTAATTTTAAGCTCATATATTTTGCGCTCCAAATCCACATACCAAGTGCCTAATAGAGTCTCTACCTGGATGTCACTTTTTAATACACTGACTGCCATGTGAGTCGTATTTAACTGGGGCTAGTTTTCAGCCCAGGAGTGCATGAAGCAAAATTCTGCAGGTGGCTGGTGAAAATCTTACTTGTTGATGTTGTTATTACAATACCTACAATTTAATTCTAAAAACGTGAATTGCATTGCAAATAACTCACACACAGAAAATAATAAAAAATAACAAATTAGAAAGGATCATTTATTTTAATAAAACACCATGGCCACATGGAAAAAAAGACTTTTTTCTAGTGCAGCACACACACGTTCAATGTGTTAAACTGAACATGTGTAAATCTGAGCCCATTATTTCCCCCTAAAAACCCCCGCTTCTCCTGTAGTTCCCACCTGTTTCCACCATCGAGCTAGAAATGTTCAAGGCCCTCGAGGCACCACCCTACCTGAACCCCACCTCCAACTCTGCCACATCACAGGGGTCCCCACCAGCTCCAGCCTAGCCGTCCTCCCACCCAAAGTCTGGCCTCCCCAAAGCACCCCTGAAGGCACTGCTCCCTTTGTCAAGGCTCCACAGGAGGGGTCTGCAGGCCTGCCTGTCTCGGCGTGGGGGACAGGGTGGAGGTGCTTATGAAGGAATGGTTTCTGGGTGCCACACAGACTCTTACAATTAGGACCAAGAATCTGTATCTGATAAAGCCTCTTCCAAACTGGGTGACAGGTTTGGACATCCCTGACACAGCATGGAACAAGCATTCATTAGGTATGTGGCCAATGAATAAAAATTGGCAGAGATGTTTAACTTAGTAGGGGAGACCACTTATGGGCTTCACATTTCCAAGAATCCCTTAGCATATTTGCCCCAGGCACCTTGCTCTGAGTGGCAGAGGAGGAAGGGGTCGGCTGTGCTCTGGCAGCCTCCGTCTCAGGCTTCTTCTCCTCTGTCGCCATGGCTCTGAAGCCTGCCGCACAGGGGACGTGGCTGGAGTCACAGTGGAAAGAGGCGCTCTGCTAACCGAGACCTAGAGTGGGGGCCTAGGCCAATAAACATATCGTGTTTTTAAAAATTGATTTCCAGGAAAAAGGATAAACAAGGAAACATTTGATCACCATATTGAGCCCTGTAACAAATCAACTGTTGTTTCAAATTGGAGAATCTATCGCCGTAACTCCATGCTAACACTATTCCGCTGCTCCACTAAGATACCCCTGCGCTCCCCCTTTTGTGCTCATGATGAAAGACCTCAAGGGTGCTTCCTATTTTGTCATCCAGATGTTTGTAGGGATGCAGCACGGTTTGTGCAAACAAAATGCAATTTTCTTCAAAGAGCCCTTGACACATTAAAAAACCGAAAGGCTTCTTGACAGAGAACGAACATGCCAAATGACAATACTAAGCTTCAGGGTGTAGAAGTTTGGGAACACGTCCAAATCCTAACAGGCACCCCAAGTGAGGCAATCATGTAGAAAACAGGAGCTAATGCATCCCGGGGCTCCACTGTCGCTGTGCACGGGCTGCAGACGCGAGGTGCCTTCCAGAATGGTAACAGGTCACAGGGCTCTCATCCCTAGTCAAGTACCACAGGACAGCAACAAGAGCAAACCAGAGCCAGCTCTGCCAGCTGGAGTTTCCACGTCCTGCCTTCTGGAAACAGCCCGGAGTCCAGCACTGCCACTGCACACAAGACCCATGCTGCAGACGAGGGAAAAAGACTGCAGCTCAATTTCAGCTTAATGTCGGGGAACTATCCAAATCGTGCAGTGACTAGTTTCCTCTACCACAGGAACAGAGTAGTCTCATACAGCACACCGGATTACTCACAAACGAGGGGCAGCACTGCTAAAAAGGAGAGCTAATGAAACATGCTTGCAAATATCAGAGGCCATACAAATCCCAGAAGCTGGCACTGCCATTAATCTAACGACTTTACACACCGTCAATTCTAGCTTGGAGCTGAAAACTGAAGTCTTGCACAGGCTCCTTACAAGGCGAAATGGAAGCCATCAAAAAAGAGCATGTCTCAAAGTCTTCATCCCAGAGGAAGGAAGAGAAATTACAACACCCAGGGGACAGAGAACAGGTGTGGCCACAGCTCCATTTCACCTGCAGCAAAGATTATCACCCAAGGATGGATCACACTGCATCAAAAGGCCAAACACCATGGGGGGGGGGGGAGAAGGTGCTGGTATGAAGCTGGTGCTCAGTAAACACCAGCTACTTGGTGCTTACCTTCAGTGCAACCCGGCTGTGCCAATTTAACCCAACTGCTGCTTACTCCTTTGCAGCATGTACAAGCAGAGGGAGAGAGGAGCTAAAGAAACCCAAGCAACAAGCAAAGAAAGGAACTGGCAAGTCTGTTTCAAAGGCCCCACTGTGAGGAAGCCAGACCAGGGCAAGAGCTGAGCAAAGTGTGGTGGCGCCCTACCCACATGGGAACAGAAGGGGCTGCGGTGGCTGGTCTCTACACTCACAGGGGTGCAAGAGGCAGCTCAGGGGACCTAAACTAGCATAAGGTGAGGCTCACCTGGAGGTGAGTGGTGACTACTGCAAATGCCTGGGTGCCCTCAGGTGAGGAACAGATAGGTGGTCTTACAGAAAAGGTGCCTAACCAGCACCTTTTTTTTTAAACATGTTTTAAAAAAAAAGTCAGCCTGACTTTTAAGAATATGATTTCTTGATCCAACAGACCAAGTTTCTTGGGTGGAGCCCAAGGCTTGGCACTTTCTACACTCAGGTGTTTCTGTGGAACAGTTGTTTTGAGGCAAAAGAGAAGCAGGTTAGGGACTTAATCTTAAGAAGGAGGGGCACAAGATGATACGGTTGCGCAGTTGGCCTCCACAGCAGGTGCTGCCCCCTCTTAGCAGCCACAGCTTTTGGTCCAGGTGAGCCTGTGTCCAAGTGAGCCTATATGTCCAGGTAAGCCTGAGCATCTGAGGCCAAGCAACCGAACGTCAGCATGCACTCCTAAACTAGGAGCTACGTTTCAAGCACAGATCCCTGCACTCCAACCCAGGTACTTGAGTCCACAGGTGTGCAAAAACCAGGAAGTGATCTACATTTTAAACAGGTACCCAGGTGACAAGCAACAGAGTTGGGGACCATCACTCTCCCCACCCAGGCTCTTGGATGCACCCCAGTCCTACGCTTACCTTGCCACAGTTGGCCGTCTGCTCACCTACCTGCCTTCCCTATGCGGCTGGGGACAGCACCCGCCAGACTCAAAGCTTACAAAAGCCTTTAAGGAGAGGGGTAAACGGGCCCGGGGTACAAAGTTGCACGAGGAGGCTAGCAAGGAGTGTCCGCTAAAAGCACGCAAAACGGCTCTGCAGACGCGACCAGGAGTGGCCTGCGGCCTGCACAAGGAGGGGCTCTCCCTGGTGACAGAGGACCCCCACCCCAGACTCTCCGCGGCGAGGGACGCCGCCCGGCTGCCGCAAGGCTGGCAGGGCCAGCAGCGGGTCGGCCTCGGGACACTGCTGCAGGCGGGGAGGCGCGCCCCGTCCAGAGACTGCGTGCGCCCGGGGGTCCCGGGCTTTCCGTGGGGTAGGCGGAAAGGGGACGTGCGAGGGAGGACACGTCGGCCGCGGGAAAGGAAGTCCCGACACCCCAAAGCCGGGCTCAGGTCCTGTCAGCTGCCCGGCTGGGCGGCGGCGGCGAACGCGAGCGGGGCGCGCCCGCGGGCGCTGGGAGAGAGGCCCCCGCGGGCGGGGCGCAGGAGCGGGGCCGGAGCGGGAGCCGACGGGGCCCGGCGAGGGGCGTCTCCAAGGAGGGCCCGCCCCGCGCAGGGGGCAGTGCGGGCGCCCCGGGACCGCCGCGCAAGGGGTGGGGCCGGCCGAGGCCGGCGGGAACACGTGCGGCGGCCAGGGCGAAGTGGGGGCCCGGCGTCGCCCTGCCGCCCGCCTCGTGCCGCCGGGCCGGGCGGCCGCCGCTACCTGCCGGGCGCGGCGGCGGGCCGGGCTCCGGACGTCGGTCAGCGCGGCCTGGGCGGGAGCGCGGACCGAGCTCGACGAGGCGGCGCTCGAGCGGGCGCCAGGCGGCGTGTGGAGCGGCAGTGCGCGTGCGCGAGGGGAGGGGCGGCGTCCGTGGGCGGGGCGAGCGCACAAAGCCGGCCTCTCGGAGGGGCGCTACGGGCAGCGGCTAGGGCCGGAATACTACGGGCACCTCAACGCCTTAAAGGGGCAGCGTGCGGCGCGCACCTCTGCTTCAAAGCATTGAACCCCAAATCGGGCTGGTGCAGACCCTTCCTCTCCGGCATTCTCTAAGGATGGAAGCATGCTAACGCCCACAGGACAGCGCCAGCGTGCCCCTCGCACTTGCAGGAAGGGAGCGCGCCCGCCCGCACACCGCACGTCCGGGCCGGCGCACACCTGGACGGCACCTGCCCGGCAGGGTGTCCTCGAGTCGGTCCCAGGCGACCCCCCACGCCCAGGAGGGGCACCGACGCTGCCCCGCCTTTCGACCGGAACCCGGCTCTCACAGGCCGGGCCCCTCCCGCGGGCCTCCTGACGCCGAGCGCTCGCGGCGGCCACACCTGCTTCCGCCCGGGCCCGGGGACGGGAGCCCGGCACGGACAGCCGGCCGCGGGCCCGGCCGGGCGGCGCCACCTCCCTCCGCAGGGCAGCGGGCCGCCTGGCCCAACCCCCGCGCGTCCCCCGTCGCCGCCCGCGGGGTGCGGCTCGGAACCCGCGCGAACAAAGGGGCAGAGCGTTTGAAATGGAAACGCCCGCGGAACGGAGGTGTGCGGTTGCCATGGAGACGGGAGCCGGCCGGAAGTGGCCGTCGGCCCGGAGTCCCCCTCGCAGGAAGGGCGCGGTGAGGGTCCCCGTCTGGTCCGGCGGCTCAGCGTGCCCACGAGGCCGAATGGGCCGGGCGCCTGCAGCCAGAGGCGAGGGCGGTGGCAGGTCTACACCGCCGGCTGGGGCGAAGAAGGGCGCCTGCACCTCCGCCCTCTGGCTGCGGGGCTCGAATCCCCGCATCAGCTCTCGGCGCCGGCCCCTTCTCCCCGGCTCTGCCGCGCCTCCCACCTGGCGCTTTCCGAGCCTCGGCAGCCGGACCCGGCTCCGACCTGTCACTCCCCGCGGTGTCGCCCTCCGCTCCAAATCCAAACTCTGCTGGCAACTTTGCCAGAGCCCGTCTCCTGCAGCCCAGGTTCCGGCCCCAAATTTAAAGTGCCTCCAGGCCTTCGACCCGCCCGGCAGACCAGGACATGGGTCCCTCCCAAAGCAAGTCGCCAACATCCCAGGTGAATTGGTCTGGCCTTCCTCCCAGAGGAGATAAAGCCTTCTAGTGAAAATGAGAAAATCTTCCAAACCTGTTGAGTGTTTTTGCAATCCCCCCCTCCCTACAGTCACAGCTAAAATTCTGAAACCAAATGACACCGAGTGAAGAGCAGTTTAACAAAAGCAGGTAATTGGCTTTATTGTCTAAGTTTTTGATCCTTTTATATCCCTCCCAAAATTCTGTCAGGCTCAGGAAAAAAAAAAAAATCACAGGTGAAAATGGAAAAGAGAAGAAGGAAAAACATGTTGGAGATTTGCTTTTCAAAACAATTAACTGTGGCCCGGGTGCCAGCCTCAGGCCTGTAACCCTAGAACTCTGGGAGGCCGAGGCAGGAGGATCCTTCGAGCTCGGGAGTTCGAGACCAGCCTGAGCAAGAGTGAGACCTGTCTCTGCTAAAAATTAGAAAGAAATTAGCTGGACAACTTAAAATATGGAAAAAATTAGCCGGGCATGGTGGCGTATGTCTGTAATCCAAGCTACTCAGGAGGCTGAGGCAGGAGGATGGCTTGAGCCCAGGAGTTTGAGGTTGTTGTGAGCTAAGCTGACGCCACGGCACTCTAGCTGGGGCAACAGAGTGAGACTCTGTCTCAAAAAAAAAAAAAGAACAATTTGGCCGCTAGCAGCGAATTGGTAAATGAAACAGTTTCTGTGAATAATTTTTATAAATGTGACATTTCTGGAAGTTTCCTCCCCACCCCCTGATCAGCCCCACAGTCTGAGCCTGCCTGGGCATCTTCCCACTGGCCCAGGTCCCCCTACCAGGCTCTCTTGCCCCCGGGAACCCTGCCAGCCAGTGTCCACTTGGGCTGCTTCTTCAGTCCCTACACCCGGGAAGTCTTCCAGCTGTATCAGTATTCCCCGGGCCTGGGTGAGCTGGGGCCTACAGTTGGCACAGGAGTGTGAACTAAAGTAAAATTTGAAGGCTCACACCCCCCACCGGCTGACTAAATGGACCCCTTTATGGCCAAAGGAATATCCTAAAACTAAATTGCCTCCCAAGAGGAAGGAGGTCAGATATGCCTTATCATACCCCCCTCCCTTCTTGAGGACATCCTTTGTTGTTTTTGTTTGTTTGTTTGTTTGTTTGTTTGTTTGTTTAAGACAGAATCTCACTCTCTTGCCCAGGCTAACATGCTGTGGCATCAGCCTAGCTCACAGCAACCTCAAACTCCTGGGCTCAAGCAATCCTACTGCCTCAGCCTCCCGAGTAGCTGGGACTAGAGACATGTGCCACCATGCCTGGCTAATTTTTTTTCTATGTATTTTTAGTTGTCCAGCTAATTTCTTTATATTTTTAGTAGAGATGGGTTCTCGCTCTTGCTCAGGCTGGTCTTGAACTCCTAACCGCAAATGATTGGCGGCCCACCTTTTCAGGCCAAACCAATGTAGGCCTCCCACATATTGATTGATGACTTTACCTGTGACCCCTGTCTCCCCGAAATGTATAAAACCAAATTGTAACCCAGCCACAGTGAGTCCACTTGCTCAAGGCTTCTTGTGAGTGGCTCCGGGTCATGGTCCTCAAATTTGGCTCAGAATAAATCTTTTTAAAATTATTGTACAGAGTTTGGCTTTATTTTTCCTGTTCACGGGAGCGTGGGGGTGACATTTAGCATTGATTGAGCACTTGTGTGCCGCATTCTGTGT